ATGTGGAGGCCACACACACTACTGAGCCTCATTTTGACTTGTTTTAAGGACATTACATCAAAGTTGGATCAGCCTGTAGTGTGGTTTTCCACTTTAATTTTGAGGGTGACTCCAAATCCAGACCTCCATGGGTTGATAAATTTGATTTCCATTGATAATTTTTGTGTGATTTTGTTGTCAGCACATTCAACTATGTAAAGAAAAAAGTATTTAATAAGATTATTTCATTCATTCAGATCTAGGATGTGTTTTTTAAGTGTTCCCTTTATTTTTTTGAACAGTGTAGTTACAGTTGATAAAGATTTTAAATGACGTTAAGTTAGGATAGCCTGAACATGTGAAAGTTGGTTTGGTGTCTCTAGCTCGAACGGTTCAAGAGTTGCTGCTGTTGAGTTAATCTATGCAAATATATGCAAATGTATATGGTTACAGCTGAATTTGAAGTAGGGATAGCCTGAATGTTTTAAAGTTGGTCTTGTTGCCTAATTGGCCAAGGAACAGGTCTATCTTGAAAATCTACCACTGTAGTCCTGTGGTTCTCATTTAAACCAATGTTAATTTATGCAAATGTGAAATCGTTATAGTTCAAAAAAGTATACATAGTATAAAAACTCCTTTGACAAGCAATCTAAATCGGGCCAGTCTGAACATCTGAACAATGGTTTGGAGTTGATAGCTTAAACGGTGAAAGAGGAGATTGGTCTAGATTTTAAAACATTTTACCATTCAAGTCTATGGCCCTTTTTTCCCCCCATTCAAATGCATTGGGAACTAATTTAAATATTTGTATAGTTCAAAAAGTATAAATGTTATCAAAAATATTTTCTCAAGCAATCCGAGTTGGAGCATTCTGGACATTTGGAAGTTGGTTTCATGTTAATAGCTTAAATCATTTAAGCTCTAGAGCGGGTGGAATAATAATAATAATAATAATAATAATAATAATAATAATAATAATAATAATAATAATAATAAATAAATAATAACAATAATAATAATAGATAAATAAATAAATAAATAAATAATAATAAATAATAATAAATAATAATAATAATAATAAATAAATAAATAAATAAATAAATAAATAAATAAATACATACATAATAATAATAATAATAATAATAATAATAATTAGAATGACATTTTCCGGATTGACTGACCTTCATGTCTTCAAGTAATGATGGACTGTCGTTTCTCTTTGTTTATTTGAGCTGTTCTTGCCATAATATGGACTTGGTCTTTTACCAAATAGGGCTATCTTCTGTATACAGCAGTTGTTTGCAAAAAAGTTGTTGATGGAAATGTCTTGCGGTTACGAAAACAACTGTATCGTTAGATCCATAGCATATATTGCTGTTCCGCGACCGGATTTGAATAGCAGAGAAGTAGACGAAGATGTCATATGCTCTAACATTTTGTCTAAGTTGTTGCAAAGTGGTCAAAGTAGCTGATTTGAGGGACAAGTTGCATTATTGCATTGACAGTGAATGGAATGTTGGAAGTGATGATGTCACAATGGGGAGCTTTAGAATGTTGGAAATGCCATGAAAGTTAATGAAGTTTGACAAAAAAAAGGACAAAAAAAAATGTATCACTTGAAAAGTATAAAAGATATCAAAAAGGCATTTCAGCCTAACCGGTGTAGGAGTTGAGTGCTAAAGAATAAGAAGAAGAAGTATGTCGAAAGATGTAAGTGGGATATTTTGCTTTGCAAGCCCCACAATAATATGAGTATGTAAGACATTTAGAGTTGTCCTTTGCCTTCAGCAAGCACACATAATAAATCACGAAATAGTGTTTTTATTGGGATGGGTTTTGCATGATGGCAAGTCAGACCAACAAATTGATGGACTGTCACTTTAAGATAATTTATTTAAATATTTTATTCGCCTTGTCTGGGCGGACCGATTTGTCACAGGGTACTTGAGAGGGGAAAAAAAAACACTTGTACAGAAACTGCAAACATTCATCTGAGAGACTGTAACGCAAGAGGTTGAAGGATACAGAGCTCTATTCAATTCTGGAGAATCAGTAACACCAAGTTGACAAGATACCACCCATCACAACTGAAGTAACTTACTTAACTGGCGGTGAGTCCTGCATATGAATCAGTTTGTTGGGTTATTTATAAAATGACATTTGTAGATTTTGGTTGAAGTTGGAAGTCATTGCGCTGCGGGGTCGCCCAGTTTGTAAACAAATGCGGTGAACATACCCGGGCATCGGGTTGGGTGTGATGTATTGTCTGTCAACCGCTTTCTGTTTACAGTAGGATAGCCTCCAGTCAGCGCAATCGATCAGGGCCTTTAAACGATAGCGAATTAATTTTGAATCCCATGAACATTAGCCTATTTAGTGGATAATGAATTGCTTGAGTGACTGAATAGAATGAAAGTGTGGATCAGTTGTTTCGCTTCTTGCCTTCTTTCCACACACCACTGTTGTTTAGAAAACCCGATTTTGGGTAACATTTTGTGCGGTGGTTCACTTTAGTAAGAATGTTTTGGATATGTCTGGAATTGATAGGCTAGCCTATCCGGCTCCCCGACTCGCGCGACAGATATCAGTTGAGATGGATTGATTTCGCGGCGCGGGATAAATTTAATGCCATTTTCCTCATAATTAACCATTGCAGTGTGTGTGCGCTTTCAAGAGTCTGCCACAGTCATTTACTGTCATTCATTTCGCTACAATGTTGAAAGATAAATCGATAGGTAATTTACACGTCAGTATCACGTTATAACAGATTTGCAGTTTGCTTCGCACGCAGAACCATGAACGACTTGTTTACTTAGAGCGCGATGCCCGGTGGCGCTCTGCTCTCGAGCTGCCTGCTTGCCTGCCACGCGCACCTCAACCAGCCTGGTCTCATAGACGAGACGTGTCGGGCGGCGGGTAGCATAGCGGTTAAGAGCGTTGGGCCAGTAACCGAAAGGCTGCTGGTTCGAATCCCTGAGCGGACTAGGGGGGGGGGAAATCTGTTGATGTGCCGTTGAGCAAGGCACTTAGCCCTAATTACTCCTGTAAGTCGCTCTGGATAAGAGCATCTGCTAAATCACTAAAATGTAAACAAACATAATTCCGAGACATTCAAAGTAGTATGATATAGTGCCTGAAAATGTACTAAGCTTTGAACACTTCATCAGATTTGCAAATGTGAAGCCTGTGTTTAAGTGTCTCATTGGTCTTCCCCTGAATCCCTGACCAGAAGCTGCAACGGACTGGAATGTCCACCAGGGGAAACTGCAGGGTCTCTCTATATAAAACCTCTATAGGCCAGTCAGTCCTTCTTCTCCTACAGAGGAGCACATATACTGGAACACTGGTTGCTTCAGCTCCAACAGTGCAATCATGTATGAACTATGGTGTGTTATCAACAGACACGTTAAGACAGTTGTACCATCCAAGTTGTAAATATTAGGGGTACATATGTATGAGGTTTGCTTTGTGCATCTAATTGTAGACTGACGTCTGCTTTGTAGATATGTTATTTTATGTGATTATTATAATTTTTTAAATATTGTATTTCTTTCTTTCCTTTTGTTAAAAAAAAAAAAAAAAAAGTCCATCTAGGGACGGGTGTTGAAAATGTGAGAATGTGTTTGTGCTCGTCAACAAATTGGAATTATTAGCACGTGTTGTACGAATTGCAATTAGTAACATATCGTACGAATTGGAGTGTCCCGGAAGACAATATACTATGCTACGTCTATCCCTGAGTCCAGGTTGCCTCAACAGATAGGGTTCCCCAGACTAGCACTGCACCACATGCCCCCAAATTCACCAGCATTTCTAGGATGACTTTGAATTATGAAGAAAAACGTTTTTAAAAAGCAATTTTGTTTAGATTGTAACCTACTTCATATCCATTAATTATACATTATTAGGAATTATTTTTTAAAAATTCAAACCAGTTTCATGGTAATTAGAAATACACACATTTAGATGGGCTGTGCTGTGCCAATGATGCCTCATACGGCATTCTCCCATAGCCTGTCACAACAGCAGGTGCCTGGGTATACAGCCCACCTTGTGCCCTTACCTTCTGGCAATAAAGAGGTGGAAGAGAGAGAGAGAGAGAGAGAGAGAGAGGTGGAAGAGAGAGAGAGGTGGAAGAGAGAGAGATGTGGAAGAGAGAGAGAGAGGTGGAAGAGAGAGAGAGTGTGGAAGAGAGAGAGAGAGGTGGAAGAGAAAGTTGAGAGAGAGAGATGTGGAAGAGGGCCCAGTGCACAGACGGAGCATCAGAGGGAACTGCTCTCCTCTGCAGCCTCAGCTCCTGTGACCGTGCAGCAGAGGTTGGCAGGCCTGTGGCATGCCCGGGCAGCGTGTGTGTGCAGCCCTGAGCCAGCCTTCTGCTCACTGCCAGCGTGGTTTACTTACTAGTTGTATCCTGTTCGTGGTATCTGAATTTACACTTGCTGTAACATACCATAAGATAGTGGCTAGTAGCGCTATCAGTAAGCGTTGCGGTAACTTTGCGCCAACACCCTGCACTTCAACAGTGAGACCGCTCATCATCATCCAGCGTTTTTCCACAAGTCTCAATCAAGCGTCATCCTCCTACTCTGACACAATACAATATGACATGACCTCATTCAACATTATTTTCTCTGTCACCTCACTGTGACCTCATTGCTCATTGCTCATTGCTCAACACAATAACCACAGATCCAGTTTCAGTTCTGGGATTTGCAACTCAATCCCTCTTGTTTGTCACTGGCTACCCAGCAAAATTGAAAGGAGAAAAAAAAGAGGGGTGGGGGGGGGTAGGTTTGGGGGTAGTAGTAGAGAGAGGGGGGGTAGAGATAGAGCCGGAGGGAGGCGCGGGTTAGAGAGAGAGAGAGGGGGGATAGAGAGGGGGGAGGGGGGTTGGGGCGGGGAGGAGAGAGAGCGAGAGAGAGGGGCGGGGTAGAGAGAGGACGAGAGGGGGTGGGGGGGAGGGAGGAGAGAGGGGGGGGAGAGAGAGAGAGGGGTTGGGGGAAGAGGAGAGGAGAGAGGAAATGAAGCTTTACGTGTGGTGCAGGTTGGTGTTTGGAGTTTCAGCAGTAACTGTGGTTTCACCCTGGGAAGGTAGCATTAGCCACTTCAGCAGGAACTGTGGTTTCACCCTGGGAAGGTAGCATTAGCCACTTCAGCAGGAACTGTGGTTTCACCCTGGGAAGGTAGCATTAGCCACATAAGTGGGCCAGATCTGTTGACACTCTATTACTGACTGACACTTTTATCAGGAGTAGCTCAGCTCAATGTACACAGGGAGGGAGGGTGTGTGTGCGTGTGCGTGTGTGTGTGTGTGCGTGTGCGTGCGTGTGTGTGTGCGTGTGCGTGTGTGTGCGTGCGTGCGTGCGTGCGTGTGTGTGTGTGCGTGCGTGTGTGTAAAAGGTGGTGTGACATATTTAGAGCAGCCTTTCCAGCCCCATACACTGGGGATGCTGCCCACTGACACTGATGTGAAGGCAACACACAAACACCAGGAATCAGGCTAATTTAAAATTGGCTTTGAGAAATGGTGTGTTTTGAAGTGAGTGTGGTGTGGTATTACCACACATCTCCATGTGTTTTTGAACCTGTTATGAATGTCTAATGATGAATCATTCCATCAAGTCCACTTCGTCAAGTTCAGCAGTGATTTTTATAGTAACTCCCTCTCACCTGGTTTACAGGATCTCCCTCACAAACACATGTGCATTCTCACATCACCCAGTCTCTCTCACAGACACTAAAGTTCCCCCCCATGTCTCTCTCACAGACACTAAAGTTCCCCCCGTGTCTCTCTCACAGACACTAAAGTTCCCCCCCATGGCTCTCTCACAGACACTAAAGTTCCCCCCCATGTCTCTCTCACAGACACTGAAGTTTCCCCCCATGTCTCTCTCACAGACACTAAAGTTCCCCCCCATGTCTCTCTCACAGACACTAAAGTTCCCCCCATGTCTCTCTCACAGACACTAAAGTTCCCCCCATGTCTCTCTCACAGACACTACAGTTCCCCCCCATGTCTCTCTCACAGACACTACAGTTCCCCCCCATGTCTCTCTCACAGACACTACAGTTCCCCCCCATGTCTCTCACAGACACTAAAGTTCCCCCCGTGTCTCTCTCACAGACACTAAAGTTCCCCCCGTTCCTCTCTCACAGACACTAAAGTTCCCCCCCCATGTCTCTCTCACAGACACTAAAGTTCCCCCCATGTCTCTCTCACAGACACTAAAGTTTCCCCCCATGTCTCTCTCACAGACACTAAAGTTCCCCCCCATGTCTCTCTCACAGACACTAAAGTTCCCCCCATGGCTCTCTCACAGACACTAAAGTTCCCCCCATGTCTCTCTCACAGACACTAAAGTTCCCCCCCATGTCTCTCTCACAGACACTAAAGTTCCCCCCATGTCTCTCTCACAGACACTAAAGTTCCCCCCCATTGCTCTCTCCTGTAGGTAAACTACCGCTGAGGCTCCTGATGGATGATGGGGAGGAGGACATGTCTCTTCAGCATCCTGCCTCGCCGTGCTGGGGCACCCCCTTCAGGGACATCAAGTTCCACACCAGGGACAGGGGGGACAGGGGGGACAGAGACACCAGGGACAGAGGAGACACCCAGGACAGGTCTACGCAGACGTCGACTGGACCCAATGCCATTGTCCCACGGTCGGATGGACACAACATCATGGTTCCACAAGGCCACAACAACAACACCTTGCCCTGTGGGTCGCAGGACAATCACCAGGCCAGAATACTGTTCCATGGTAAGAAAGGGCGAAGAGGAACCCCTACCACACATGACATGTATCATCAAAATCTACACTGAGTGGACAAAACATTAAGAACACCTGCTCTTTCCATGACATAGACTGACCAGGTGAATCCAGGTGAAAGCTATGATCCCTTATGGATGTCACTTCTAAAAACCCACTCCAATCAGTGTAGATGAAGGGGGAGGAGACAGGTTAAAGAAGGATTTTTAAGCCTTGAGACAATTGAGACATGGATTGTGCGTGTGTGCCACTCAGAGGGTGAATGGGGGAGACAAAAGATTTAAGTGCCTTTGAACGGGGGTATGGTATTAGGTGCCAGGCGCACCGGTTTGTGTCAAGAACTGCAACGCTGCTGGGATTTTCACGCTCAACAGTTTCCCGTGCGTATCAAGAATGGTCCACCTCCCAAAGGACATCCAGCCAACTTGAGACAACTGCAGGAAGCATTGGAGTCAACATGGCCCAGCATCCCTGTGGAACGCTTTCGACACCGAGTCCATGCCCCGACGAATTGAGGCTGTTCTGAGGGCAAAAGGGGAGGGGGGGGGGGGTGCAACTCAATGTTAGGAAGGTCTTCCTAATGTTTGGTAAACTCAGTGTATTTCAAATACATAAATCATACACAGCTCAAATATGTAAAATTCTTTGACGTGTATTTGACTCAGGTCTGACCAGATGACAGTTATAGTGTTAGTTTAGTGTAGTGTGGTTAGGTCTGATCAGATGACCGGTATAGTGTTGGTTTAGTGTAGTGTGTGACTCAGGGGTTTTCCACTAGACCAAGTGGCGATACGTAACATCCAGGTATTCTACACTGTCGCAGTAGAGGTTATCATCTCATGGCTTTTTACATGTTTCATACACAGACTCACAGTATATCATTCAGGCAAAACAAACAGACAGAGGCTGGAAAATACACACGCATTCAGGAACACACACACATACACACACACATACACACACACACACACACACACGCACACGCGCACATACACACACACGCACATACACACACGCACATACACATACACGCACATACACACAACAGCACCACGCACAACACACTCAGAACATGACAACACCGCACATCCCGACTACAACACGCATCACGCACATTAGCACTACAACACAACGCACAACTGCAGACCGACCACATCAATCACAACTCCAAGTAAACACAGCAAATACAAAACACCAGCACAATACAAATCAGCATACACGACCAATACAACACACGGGAATGACACAGGCATCCACTAGACCAAGCATACGAACACCAGTACATGCCAAAGCACACTCACTTACATCAACACCACATACACACGCAAACAACACAGCGAATAACCATCAACACACACACACATACACACAACACACCACAGCACATACCACACCACACACACACGCACATACACACACAACCCCCACACATACCACACCACATACCACACATACACACACACGCACATCACACACACACCGCACACACACACGCACACACACACACACGCACATTTGAATTGAAGGTTGTGTGCTGTGATGTAATGTCATCAGTGTGACATCACTCTAACAGAGTAAAACCGTTGAGTAACACAGTCAGACTGCTGCCTGTTTATCAGACCAGATCTAAACGTCTGGGTCAAAGTTCAGACGGGTAAACACAGCCTACTGTTCTAACCACCAGTCCGACTGCTGCCTGTTTATCAGACCAGATCTAAACGTCTGGGGTCAAAGTTCAGACGGGTAAACACAGCCTACTGTTCTAACCACCAGTCAGCAATCATTATGACCCCATAACTTGTCACAGACACTAGAGACCTTTTTTAGTGTGACCTTTACCCTCTCCCAGACCTCCAGTTTAGAACTATGCCCTCTATATCAAGCCTTATCCACCTCTTTATTTTCCCTGTCCCTTCTATCTATGGACAAAGGAACAGACAGATCTCTTTTCTTTTTTTTTTATTGCGTAAAGATAATTGTTTTCTTTTAATGGCGTGACGATGAAGAGGCCAGGAGGCGCGTGCCAGGGTCGGTGACTAAAAGCCAAACCAGCTGGGGTCATCAAGGTTGTTGTTGGTTTAACTTAATATGTTTGAGTTTCCACCCTACCGGTCGACCGACACGCTCGTATAGAAGGGAGTTTTCTAAGGTTATACTACCGTATCATTTGACTGTAAGAAACTGGTCACGATGCCAAATCTGATAGAACCAGTTTAGTGTTACTGGCAGCGGTACAGCGGTACAGTTACAGTGACGGCACGCTAAAGTAAACACAGTGAGTCACCTAGCCGGCAAGCCAGTCTTTGGTGACAGACAAAAGGAGCATTGTGTCTTCTGTGTCTGGCACATAAACACACCCACCAGTAAATCTAGAATGTTTAGCTGCTTGTCATTAGACCAGAGCCAAGAGCCATACTAATCTGTCCACTTCATAAAGTGGGAGAGATCTGTTGTCTCCCTAATCCCTACACCCCTCTCCCCAAAATCATTATTAAAAGCCAACTGTAAAAAGGCAATGGTTTACAATGCTTTGGTCAACCGAATATCTCACTAACTGATTGTAAATCAGAGGTCAAATCCAGCCCATGACCCCAATGCCATTATAAAACAACGACACTGAACGATTATACATTTTGTCTTCCCACAGGCAACGCTGGATTCCGTGTGCACTTCCCAGCTAGGTTCGAGCCCCTGGATGACCAGGGAGAGAGGCAGAACGGGGAGGAGGAGAGGAGGAGGAGACAGAACGGGGAGGAGGAGAGGAGGAGAATGGAGGAGAGACCAGAAGAAGAGCGGTTGGAGGATAGCACGGCGGATAGCACGGAGGTGAAGATCGGACGTAAGCTCCGGGAGATCGGAGACCAGTTCCAGCAGGACCATGTTCAACCGGTAAGGGGTCAAAGGTTAACTAACTGTGTGTGTCTGTGTTCAACCGGTAAGGGGTCAAAGGTTAACTAACTGTGTGTGTCTGTGTTCAACCGGTAAGGGGTCAAAGGTTAACTAACTGTGTGTGTCTGTGTTCAACCGGTAAGGGGTCAAAGGTTAACTAACTGTGTGTGTCTGTGTTCAACCGGTAAGGGGTCAAAGGTTAACTAACTGTGTGTGTCTGTGTCTGCGTGTTCGGTTGGGTATGGACTGGGGCCGTCCACTGCCAGACTGCAGTGGCTTGTGGCTCTTCACTGTGAAAAGAAAAGTCCCAACATTTTGCCAGCTGGGGCGGCCACAAATAAGCCTGCTCGGAATAGAGCTCTGTCACCGATTCAACCACATTCTAGAACCATTTCCCCCCAACCCAAAACCACAAATTGCCAGGCAGATATGCTAGAGGGTGGAGCCTGGTCACAGAATTCATAAAGTATTATTTACACTGAAAAGGAGGTTGGTTCTTAGTGACAATGAACATTGGGAACAACTGCTCTTTCCATGACATAGACTGACCAGGTGAATCGAGGTGAAAGCTATGATCCCTTATTAACACATATGGAATCATGTAGTAACCAAAAAAGTGTTAAACAAATCAAAATATATTTTATATTTGAGATTCTTCAAAGTAGATACCCTTTGCCTTGATGACAGCTTTGCACGCTCTTGGTATTCGATGATATGAATCATGGATGCTATACTAGACAATCAGTGATGAACACAACACAACATTTCCTTCCCTCTTTTAAACTAGGCATGAAAGGAGGTGTTGAAGGTGAGCAGTTGAAATGTTGCTGGGCCTAGCTGACGTTGAACTTTGACATGGTGTTGACAAGAAGGTGCGGAGCTTGTCTGCGCGGTGTGGTCGTTGCACCCTGACCCCTGACTTGGATTCCAGGAAGCCGTGCTCTCTTTTTTTTTTTTTTGTAGCGCTCCTGACTTTTACGCTGTTGGCTTTGCACTGCTGCTTTGACTGTCGAAGGCTGTCGGGTTGCCAATAGAGGGACGGAGTCTGTCTGGATCACGTCCTAACATCAGCTTGGCAGGACTAGGGGTGGCAGTAGGCTGTGCTGATGTAAGAGCTGGACTCGGCCGAGACCAGCTGAGGGCCATTGTCCGTGGTCAGAGTTGCAGGCCGAGACCAGCCGAGGGCCATTGTCCGTGGTCAGAGTTGCAGGTAGTCCCCAGGAAGTTTAGGATGGCCCCTGTTTATGACAGAACCCATGGGTGTGACCTCTGGCCATTTTGAACGTAGGTCATGCACAACCACCAGGAAGCGTTGGTGACGTGGCACATTGTAACAGTTCACTGCAGATGACTAGCTGGATATGTTCCCATGGACGGGAGGGCCAGGCCAGTGGAGGTGGTGGTGGAGGTGGGACTGTCCTTCCACTGACAGGACACGTACTAGCCCTTCGATATCATGATCAATACCAGGTACTAGCCCTTCGATATCATGATCAATACCAGGTACTAGCCCTTCGATATCATGATCAATACCAGGTACTAGCCCTTCGATATCATGATCAATACCAGGTACTAGCCCTTCGATATCATGATCAATACCAGGTACTAGCACTTCGATATCATGATCAATACCAGGTCACCACACCAGGTCCCGGCAGCGCTGCTTCAGCATGAGCCATGGCCAACACTCTGAGGCTGCTCGGTATGACGATGCAGTCTCCGGGAGCCAGACGTGTCATTCCAGCACGACAGCTCATGTTCGAACCTGGCGTATGGTTGGAGTTCCGACGGGAGCTGTGCCGGCCAGTCATTGGCTACGTATTCCCGCAAGGATAGCGCATGTAGTAACCCGTCGTTCCCATAAATGAGGCAAGTTGTGTAGCAGATGTCGGTTCTGGGACACGATGGATGGCTTCCACTTTTGACTGCTGCGGCGAGAGCCCTCGGGTTGACACGCAGAACCCGACAAAGTTGATCTCTGGCACTGACAACATGCACTTCTCAGTGTTGAGTGTGAGGTTGTGTTGACTGAGCGCTGTGAAGGCTGCTTGCAGACGTTCGTCGTGGACGGTAGTGTTGGGACGATGTCGTCCAAGTAGAGAGCAAGGATGGTGGACATTACATTCTGGAAACAGCTGGGGGCCGAACTGAGACCAAAAGGCATCCTTGTGTAAGGGAACACCCCAATATGAGTTGACAAAGGCTGTCAGGTTCCTACTCTCTAGGTGTATGGGGAACTTGGAGGTAGTCCTTGCGAAGGTCCTGCTTTGTGAATCCATCCTCCAGCTGCTTCTGTAGATCCTTAATGACTTCCTCGCGTAAAGCCAGTGGAATACGGCGTAGAAGTTGAATGACTGGAATCACCGTATGGGTTGAGGAGGGGCTTATGTGTGAACGCTGTCAGGGCACCTACGCCGTTGAAGAGGTATGGGACATTGCTCTTGCCATGGGGGGAGGCGACGTGCAGGATTGTTGTGAGCCACTGTTGTCCAACAGAGAGAACCCCAGGCTGGTGAACAGGTCTAGACCTAAGATATCAGTGCCCTGCCGTGTGATGTGGAAGGGGGAACTGAGTGAGGGCCTTGTTGCCATACTGCGCAGGTGAGTGTATAAAGCCGACGACATCAATCACTGAGCGCCCATATATCCCCGTACGGGCTAAGGCTTGGCGGCTGGAGGGGCAGGTGAGACAAGAACCGCTCGTAGGGTAGCCACGTCGAGGAGCGACACCTTTTGGTCCTGTGTCTAGCACGAGAGGAATGCAGGAGTCACCCAGGTATACAGCACAGGTGGGAAAACCCAGCCGGGTTTGAGCCAACAGTGTGAACGACAGCAGGGGGTTGTGTCCATGGAGAGTTGGTGCACAGGACGCTGGGGCTGGAGCTGACCTACACCCCTTTTATAAAATGGTTTTGGTTTCTGACATCGTCTACCTGTCTGACCACGAGCGGGGGCAGTCAGGGGCACGAGCGGGGGCAGTCAGGGGCACGAGCGGGGGCAGTCAGGGGCACGAGCGGGGGCAGTCAGGGGCACGAGCGGGGCAGTCAGGGGCACTCCGTTGAAGCGTCTGGGTTCTCACCAACTGCACTGAGGCGCTCACATCACTGTCTGAGTGACAGCTACAGTCTGAGCGCTGAGACCGCTGCACAGCTTGAACATGCACAGCTTGGACATGCACAGCTTGAACATGCACAGCTTGAACATGCACAGCTTGAACATGCACAGCTTGAACATGCACAGCTTGGACATGCACAGCTTGGACATGCACAGCTTGGACATGCACAGCTTGAACATGCACAGCTTGAACAGCACCGTGTTTCTGTGCCTCAGAGATCTTAGTCGCACAGTGAGCTGCTGATTCCACTTTTGCTAAAGTCATCATCTTCAAGGAGAAATATAATCACCCCCTATTTGACCTTTGATCCCATTGTCTACTTTCCTTCCGGTAATTTCAAAGCAGAAGGGATGGCAGGAACTCACCCTGTCTGTCTGTCTGTTCTCCAGTTGATGGACAGAAGTTGAGTCGTTGTTGTTGAGTTCTACACACCTTATAGCATCATAAAAATGTTCAATGGTTTTAAGTAGTTGGCTGTCTTCATATAATGTCACATTTATCACTTTACCTAAAGGTTGCTACTTTGCTTTACCTGGTTAGCCAGGATGGAATGCTCTCTCTGCACTCTCTACTATCACACTACACTGTCTCTACTATCACACTACACTGTCTCTACTATCACACTACACTGTCTCTACTATCACACTACACTGTCTCTACTATCACACTACACTGTCTCTACTATCACACTACACTGTCTCTACTAACACACTACACTGTCTCTACTATCACACTACACTGTCTCTACTATCACACTACACACTGTCTCTCTAACACACTAACAACTACACGTCTCTACTAACACACTACACTGTCTCTACTATCACACTACACTGTCTCTACTATCACACTACACTGTCTCTACTAACACACTACACTGTCTCTACTAACACACTACACTGTCTCTACTATCACACTACACTGTCTCTACTATCACACAACACTGTCTCTACTATCACACTACACTGTCTCCACTAACACACTACACTGTCTCTACTATCACACTACACTGTCTCTACTATCACACTACACTGTCTCTACTATCACACTACACTGTCTCTACTATCACACTACACTGTCTCTACTAACACACTACACTGTCTCTACTAACACACTACACTGTCTCTACTAACACACTACACTGTCTCTACTACACACTACACTGTCTCTACTATCACACTACACTGTCTCTACTAACACACTACACTGTCTCTACTAACACACTACACTGTCTCTACTATCACACTACACTGTCTCTACTTCACACTACACGTCTCTACAACACTACATGTCTCTACTATCACACTACACTGTCTCTACTAACACACTACACTGTCTCTACTAACACACTACACTGTCTCTACTAACACACTACACTGTCTCTACTAACACACTACACTGTCTCTACTAACACACTACACTGTCTCTACTATCACACTACACTGTCTCTACTAACACACTACACTGTCTCTACTAACACACTACACTGTCTCTACTATCACACTACACTGTCTCTACTATCACACTATCACACTACAACTGTACTCTACGAACAACCCCACTACAATGTCCTACTGTCACATACATGTCTCTACTATCACACTACACTGTCTTACTATCACACTACACTGTTTACATCACACACACTGTCTTAATAAACACACTACACTGTCTCTACTAACACACTACACTGTCTCTACTAACACATACACTGTCTCTACTATACACTACACTGTCTACACTAACCACACTACACTGTTCATAAACACACTTATCACATACACTGTCTATACTATCACACTACACGTCTTACTATTCACCACTACAATGTCTCTACTATCACACTACACTGTTCTCTAATAACACACTACACTGTCTCTACTAACACACTCACGTCTTACTAACACACTACACTGTATCTACTATCACACTACATGTCTCTACTTATCACCTACACTGTCTCTACTAACACACGACACTGTCTTCTACTATCACACTACACAGGACTACCTCACCACTACGCTGGCCCTAGTCTCACACTACACTTCAATCATAACAGATGAGAGAGGGAGGGAGAGAGAGAGAGAGAGAGAGAGAGAGAGTAATTTTGCATAATTTCGTAGTAGCAAATTTACACAGTGGGGGGTGGGTTAGGTACTAGTGTCAAAGTCCACTTGAAAAATATCTCAGTTCAACTCTTTAAAACGTTCCTCTGTTAATGAGTAACACCCTGGGAGAGGTCGTCTATCTAGTACCCTTTTTCTTTTGGTGTAAGTATTAGGCCACGCATGGGGTCTGTATGCTAAGGTGAGCTGTGGCTGACCGACTGGTAGTTTGGGAGAGAGAGTTAGAGACAGTGTGATGATGTGGTGGTCAGAGTGAGCGCTACTTCTTTGTCTGGACAGAAATGGGCCGGCTGTTTATATGCGGAACTAAAAATAGAACTGTGACTCACTCACCACAGATGCAGCCAGTAGCGTGATGACTACCCACAATACTTCACTCACTCGCTAGCCCAACTGGCTGGATTTATTTGTGTGTCTGTGTGTGTGTGTGTTGTGTGTGGTGTTTTGTGTGTGTGTGTGTGTGTGTGTGTGTGTGTGTGCGTGGCGTGCGTACTTGTGTGTGACATGGAGAGATAAGAGGGTGTTTTATCTAAAAGAGACAGTTATTTTATTTTGAATGATCTGGTAATATTGTCAACTGCGTTCAAACAAAATATATTCTGCTCAGGTCACGTGACATCCACAGTGTTTCTGTGTCAGATCTCTCACTGTGGCCTCTGTCACACACTTCAACATGACATGAGGATGTATGTGTGAGCCAATGTTTAGCTCAATTAGCTGTCGCGTGTGTG